TAATTATTTGATCCCCTGCTGACTTTGTAGTTTTGCCCACTTACAAAGCAATGAACGGTCTATAATTTTTGTCATAGGTTTATTCTAAAGGATAGAGACAGAATATCAACAAAAATTCCTGAAAAAGGACGATACAAATGTTATAATTTGTGGACCCAAATCCCTCCTAAGATGTGTGCAAACCTGGTAACCAACTACAAGAAATGTCTTACCTCTGTGCTTGCCAACACAGATTTCTCCACCAAGTACTAGGTCATGTTTTGCTTGGGGATCAAATGCTTATTTTTCTCACTGAAATGCAACTCAATTTATAACATTTGTATCATGTGCTTTTCAGGATTTTTTGTTGATATTCTGAATAAACCTTTGATAAAAATCATAAATCCTTCATTTATTTGTAAGTGGGCAAACCAACAAACCAACAAACTCAACAGGGAATCAAATAATTATTTTCCCCACTGTACACACTGCTAGAAAGCTCCAAGTCTCACAAGCTCTGTAAGTTATTTAAGGCTCTCCATAACATTACAACAGCTGCTTTTCATTTTGCAGCAGTATAAACAGTCACTCCCTACATTTTTCAGTTGTTTGTACCCAGGTGGCCATAGCTGGAATTCTTTTTTATCACAAAATTTCAATGAATAAAATCCACCTAGGTATTAGTCCAGCAAACAGTTTGTAATTGAGGAAAAAGTCCAAAAACCAGAGCAGTTTTATTTCCATCAGCATCCTTCATCTTTTGTTGTTTTATAGCCTACTTTACTTATATTCTGGTCCACTATTAAACCGGTCCCAGTGACGCCATGTTGCATTGTTTGCTAGGCTTCACACATCAAAAGAACAACTATTTACACATATATAGCTCTCTCATTGGTCTGACAACATGTCAATCAATGTAATCAGCCAACCCAGGCGGTGAAGGACAACCGAACTTGCTCTGGGTATGCTCTAGCCAGTCAGTGGCTGTGGCAAAATGGCTGACAGGCTGAATAATCAATAAAATTCCAAATTCAGAAACCTATGACGCAGCCTGGAGTCTGAGTTTCCTACTTTGCTAAAGAACTCTTCAGTGATTTGTTGTGATTCATTTGAAGACAGCTAATTAAATAATTGGTAAATTGTTGTTCATTTTTTTTTTAAATAAACAAGTAATTTATTCTGTTAATTTTATTAATTAATTCATTCATTTTATTAATTTGTACAAACATATCAGACACTGTAGCAAACAAATGGAGTTGTGCTTGGCAAAAACCTCACAGACAACAGTGAAGAAAGCTCATATTTAATGCCATCATCAACTACTTTGATAGAGAAGGGGCTGAAATGTGTGTATGTTACTCTAAAATGTTTATCACTCAGTATTTAATACTACAGGTTTTACAGTATGTGTCTTTTTATATGATTTTAAAAATAGGTCAGGTTCAGGATCAGTAATACTTGTTTTAACCTTCTGATTGTAAAATATAAAGAGTTACCTTTCAAATGGGCTATAAGTGTGATCAAAAGGGTGAAGAACAGTACCATTTTTATTTTGAGTACATTATTGTTTCAGCTTGTGCACAATAATGTCATGATTCTGTCCCATCGGCTTCTGTTCTCGTGCTTTTATTTTGACATTACTTCCTGTTTCTGTTTCAGCTCAGTTTCAGACTTTTTACTTTAAAACTCACTGTTTTCACCCAGATATAAGCAGCTTTCCCTTCACTGGAAAGCTGCCAGATTGTTCTAACCCATGTCAGACTTTCCAGCGTTTTCCCTTGTGCCTCTTTTTCATGTTTTGACCCCTGATTGTATTTTGACAATTGTGTTCTGCCTTGCCCTCCTGATTCAGACTCCTTTCTGTGTGAATTATTGGACTTCCCTCTCTGACCCCTCGTTTGTGGATTCGTCGGCTGTGTAAGTTTGCTGGCTCTGACCCTGGACTGTATTTTTGACCTGAGTTTGTGTTCCGTGTTTATGTAGTTCTCTGTATGGTTTTGTTGTTCGTGCTCTTATTAAAGAGACAGTTTTTCACTTATCCTTCTTTGGCTATGTAATTGAGGTCACCCTTGATATCATCGGCAGATTCACACGCCAATTCCTGACACAATATACTGTAAAGGGGTTAAATAAAATTGACTGGCAATTGTTGTATTTTCATGTGTAAACTGTGGTAAATGTACTTCTTACATAATGGAAAATAATTTAGTTTCAGTTACTGTTGTTTTGTCATTGATGAGAAGTGGGAAAAGGGATGCTGTGTGTGTGTGTGTGTGTGTGTGTGTGTGTGTGTGTGTGTGTGTGTGTGTGTGTGTGTGTGTGTGTGTGTGTGTGTGTGTGTGTGTGTGTGTGTGTGTGTGTGTGTGTGTGTGTGTGTGTGTGTGTGTGTGTGTGTGTGTGTGTGTGTGTGTGTGTGTGTGTGTGTGTGTGTGTGTGTGTGTGTGTGTGTGTTTTACAGTGTGTCTACACAACATACTCTCATCCCAGGCCTTTAAGTACTAATGCCTAGCAGCTTCAGTCCTCCATCTGTCTATACAAGATGTGTTCAGGTAGAGTACTGATTGCAGGTCACCTGCGTTTTAACAGCAGAAAAAACATTGTAATTAAACATAAGACAATACACAAGTGTAGAATTAAACTTTGCCACAAGAAACCTGTAAGCTGTATAGGGACTGTGTAGCTAACTGGAGTACAAAAGAAGTCAAGTGTGTATATGAGAGATAACATCAGCATAAGGAAAACTGACCTACATTGTTTCCTTGTCTCTAACCCTGTCTTTTAATTTAACAATAATATTTAAGTGAGAATTAGGAGCTGCAATATAAGCACAAACTTGTGCAAATACATTACACGATGAAACATGATCCATTTTCTTTCCAACAGGGTCTGTGTTAGTATATGCTTTCTGACTCGCTATAATGAGTTAGAAAGCATATATAATGCCTCAAGGTCTATACTTCTGTGACTGTAAAAACAATAGCCACATCACCAAGCTTGGCATCTGTATCATGACTTTATCAGTTCCAAAATAGCTTCAAGATGTTACTTGATGGAGAAGAAAACACTGGCATAAGGCAGCTGAAAGTATGCGACAGCCCTTTGTGAAGGAGCAGTGCTTCAGTCCACACGTCAGATGCATTGCAACACCTCAGAAAGTGGGTCTCCGTCTCTTACCAGCAACTATGTACAGTGAAGAAGAGTCAGGCTGAGAAATCTCAAGCATAACAGAGGAATAAACACAAGAGGGCAATAGTTTACCAGGATTTCTCCTATAAACTCAAATTCTATTGGATGAAATCTAGAACCTCAGATCCAAAAAACATTAAAACAGTGTTTTCTTCTCATATGGTCACTGACCCCTGTGGGCTGAACTTATGACCACTTCCCCAGAAAGAAATTCTGAGTCTGTTAAAATGTCTGAAATATGTTTGAAGAGAAAGATCAATGCCTGGGACAGGCAGATAATGGGACACCCTCCAGTCACTGTGCTGTCTGTCAAAATGAGCTCAAAGCAGCAGATTTAGGCACCAGATCCCTCTCATCTCTGTCAGAGGATCTTGTTAAAATACCCAGTACTGTATCTCCAATTGTTACAGCTTCATGCTTTATGGTGAGCCACTCTATGCCATTAATCAATCAATGGGATTGTTACCATATTTTGTTTCTAATGAAAGTTTCCACAATGAAAGGCACAGTGGCTTCTGCTCAAGCTTGGTCATTCTTTTCTACTTAAGGACGTGATGGATAGTTTATGGTATGAGAAAAGACCTGCTGTGCATTATGTCATACAGTACCACTACCATCTGTAGATCAGTGTGTGCAGCTCCTCTTTACACATACATCTCCTAATTTAACTGTGGCAAATTTGCAGTGAAGATGATTGGAGGGGAGGGAGGTCAGGGTGAACAGAGGGCGGGGGGATGGGGGAGATGGTATCAGACAAATAATGTGAATAATTATTGGAAACAATGTCCAGATAGATGGAGTGGAGCTAAATTATGAAATCATGTGCTTTCTTCCGATGCATCACCCTGCTCATTATACTTGAAGACATGCTTGGAAAAACAGGTGTTTCCAATACTGGGCCATTGTCTTCACGGTCCCACAAGCCTTTCATTTTCTGATGATGGTTCAGATATGATATTTCAGGGCTGAAGCCGAATGCATGATAGGAAGTGATTGAGGAGAGCCGCTCAGTAGACATCTGTGTAATGGATGCTGACTGGCCTCGGCTAACTCCTCAGAGTCTTTGTAACAAGAGGGGAGCCACAAAGCTGGAGGGATGATGGTGTTCAAATGATTACAAAAGGATTACTCTGTCTCTTTAAACAGGTGCCATATTTATGTGCATCAGACAGGAGCTGAGTGCAGTTGGCACAAAAGCTTTAGTTTTCATCCTCATAATAAACAAAACCAGCAGGGAGAAAAATCAACTTTTTTTGTCTTTTTCTTCTTGTTTGGTTTATGATCGATGTGTTGCGTCAGCATTTGAAGCACATGTCTCTGATGTGGAGAAGAGCAGATGTTTGTCTTCTATAAGCACAGAACTTTCTCTTGTGTGATTAATAATCATGTCATTAGTTTTTATTGTAGCCTAGAGGCTGATGCTGACTAATAAATCACAATTTCAAACTCTATTCCAAAAGGCATATGTGTTTTTAAAATAACTTATCAACCATTTTCAAAAGTTGAATATAGAACATCTGGCATCTAAAAGCATCATTATTTTGATGATCACCCACTATAAACACTATCATTTGAATTTCTTATGAACACATTACTTTGAATGAGCAACTCTTGTTTGCTCAGAGTTTTGGGGATAATATTTAAACAGCATGTTACCAATAAAGACACATTTTATATTTTCTTGAAGTTGAAAATGCAGTATGTTGCAAATGTTTGAAGAATTTATATTTTAGAGGTTTACAGTGAAAATCAACTACTAATGAGGAGAAAAAAATCAAAACCATGTACACCAATTGAAATGTTTATTGAGTGTTCTATGTGCTTGGCACCTGTGTTTACATTTTTTAAAATGCTTCAAAAAATTATTTTGCCATTTCCCTTTTTCACACATTTTATACCAGAACATCCCGTGAAATTGTTATATTGCTCAGTACTTAAATACACATCTCTACAACACACCAAAACATACTTTAGTTTTGCTATAGCTTCTTTTATAGCTTTTCACACTTCTTTTAAGCTTATGTTATTGATTGCATTCGCCATCTAATATAATCCACTCAAAAATAGTGAAGCCATTCCAGTCTATGAGGAAAACAGGTTGAAGTCCTGACCTCTCATGTGTACACCAGCTGGGAGTTTTGAGTCTGACGGCAGAGCTCCTCAGCTGACCTGACCTACTGTTCTGTGACTTACTGTGTCTATGTGTTCACCCTGTTTGGCACGGCAGTGCCAAAATACTTCATCTCCCACATGTATATGTGACCTTGTCCATTTGTCCCTTTCATTCCAGCCAAATCTTGAGACCATGATGACGAACCACTCACCCAGTGACATTTCTGCAACGATACAGCACAGGTGCTGTGTCAAGTAAAAACTTCTGGATCACAGCGAAGATTCTTTGGTTACATGATGTTATGACTGGATGGTCTTTGAGTCCCCAGAAAACAAGAATGAGTCACTTTAAAAGTGTGTTGCCATAACAGATTCAACTGATAACTGATAATCCTTTCTCAAACAGACCATGTGGGCTCATTTATCTCCTTCTGACACTGATGTGAGTTTGTTTCATTCCTGCCAGACAGTAAGTGTCAATTTGTTGTCCCAGTTTTTGTTTTATTGATACAAAGAAAATTAAATAATTGTTCTGATTCTGAGTAAGTGGTGGAGTGTCTTTAAACAAGATGAAATGATCTCGTTCTATGAGAAGCTTTCCTTTGTACCTCAGTACATTAACACTTCATGTAAAAGTGCCGACTCAACAACACCAAACCGGGTTCATAGATTAGAGATTTGCTTTTCAGCTGAAAGACTTTAGAAACATGAAGGGCTGTGAGGTCTACACCATGTGCATGGACATCTGAGAAGAGGAACTATACTGACGACCGTCACAGGAGCTGCTACCCTGTTGGCTGCTGGTGGTGTTGCCAATCATGTGCATAGTGTCCATGCTTCCATTGGACAGGTACTGTCGCTCAGAGAAAGCCCCAGCGGGAGAGGAAGAGCACAGTAAACCTCCCTGGGGCTTCTCAGGGCTGGCAGCCAGGCGGGGAGAAGTGGGGAAGCTGTATCCATACAGGTTGTAAGGGTTGTGTAGGGAGAAAGCATTGTAGGAGCCCTGCTGCATGTGGTGGTGGCTCCCACTGAACATGTGTGAGGAGGAAGGGGAGGAGCCAGATGAAGAGGATGAGGCAGAGCTGGAGCTGCTTCCAGCCTGCATGACATACTGAAGCTGCGAGGCTGGGAAGGAGCCAAGCTGACCACTGTAAGCATCCATCTTGCCTCCAGTGCCACCGCTACCGCCACCACCAGTCAGGGAGGCATGAGTGCTCCCCTGCATGCCAGCAGCAATCAAGGAGGAAGTCCTCTGTGGCAGGAAGGATTCAGAGGGCTGAGCAGAAGCCACAGCACCCCCTGCAGCCTGGAGGCGTCCATAGGAAGTGTCAGACAGGCCACCGTAGCCCTGCAGGGCTGCCATGTTACTGCGGGCACAGGCTGGGTACTCGGACAGGCCCAGGTTGCAGAGTTGACTCTCCCTGCAGCCCACATTGAATGTGTTGGGGGGAAGGTGGAAGGTTGGAGGGGAGCAGGAGGGAGACAGGAGGTGTGCTGCACCAGAAGGGGAGGGGGTTCCTGTGCTGGAGGTGGTGGGAGAAGTTCCAGTGCTTCCACCTGGAAAACACACAAATATAGAAAGAATGACACACAGTGCAATTTTATAGATACAGTACTTTACCAGGAGAAAAGAACAAGTTAATATAAAACAAAATCGAGTTTCAAGATGAGACCCAGTTCAGTTTGAGTCATGACCAGTATAAAAGTAAACATAAAATACAAAGTATTTTATAATTATCAAGAAAAACACAGAGCTTCTGTATGAATGAAACCCACCAAGGTGTTTCTGATGTTGGGGAGAATCATCCAAAACTGAATGAGACACAAGTCCAGAAAAAGCCCTACAAGTCCTGCATGTAAACTCACACGTTTCCATGACATGAGGCACTGTTCATCTTTAGATTCAAGACATCATGAAAATATTAATCAAAGAAAAAGTTAATTATACAGGAACCTAATGTCTTGGGTAATGAATTAATGTTTTAGGGCATTTATCATTTCCACATGTTGGAAAGATTTTCCAAGCTAAAGTAGTGATGAGCAAGATGGATCAAAATTCAAGTGTTCATGATGGATGGTTGTACATCAAACTGTAGTTGCTAAGTCTTTTCTTAAATAAACCACATACAAACAAGAGCATTTGGGTTATTGTGAAAAGAAAAGTGCCCATATTTTGACATAGGCTGACAACTTTTTCCCAG